ATGTTAGCTCAGGGCTAAATCTTCCTCACAAAAAATAAATAAACAAACAAACAAATAAATAAATAAAATGAAAAAGACCAAGAGAAGCTGGAGGTAGGAGTTGGGGGTGGGATTTTGATTACTAGAACAAATAATTCTGGGAAAAAAAGAAAAAACACCTTCCTATGAGCATGCCACTAACTTTCAATGTCAAGTGAAGACTATCTTATTCTGTATCATACACTTTTGTTAGAAAAAGTAATCTCTCCCTCCCCCGACAACTGACTCATAATTCTAAACAGGAGTACTTAGGCTAAAATTAGCTTTATAATTTGGGCTTTGTTTTTTCAAAATAAAGTCTCAAACTTTTTTCCACTATCAACTATGAAATTCTGATCCTTGTTTTAACTGGATTCACTTCCAGCGGCCTTTTTCTAGAACAAATTATTTTCAGACAGTTAGGATTTCCTAAGCACTGTCTAGTTCGGCAGAGTTTTCAAAGGGCAGTTGTTAGGATAGTGAAATCACTCAAAACCACGTCTTGGGAGAAATGATGCAAGGAAATGAAGCCTGGAGAAGAAAACAGTGGGGACCATAACAGCTGTGCTCAAATACTGAGGGGCTGTCACTGTGATTTTATTTCTTCTGAAAAGCCCAAGAGTACAGAACTAGGACTAGAAACAACGAAGACATTTCTAAACAGAAAACTTTAATAACTGAAGTTGTCCAAAAAGTTGATGCTTTGTTTTGAGAGCAAGTGAATTTCCAACAGCAGAGGTGTTTAAACAAAGATGAGCTCTGAGTTCTTGCACAGGTGCCTCCTTCAGAGTCCACAGCTCATGAATTACCTAACCCTCTCCCACTGTGGGCCTACTCAGGGTCATTACCCATAGATCTATTGATTCCTTCAAATAGTTACTGAATGGGTCAGAGCAAGGGGCATGGGAGGGGAATTGAGTTGAAATTTTATATAGTGTGGTCAAGTCAGGCTTCGTTGCGAGGGTGACATTTAAGAGGCCCCATCAAGACAAGATGATAAACGTGAGTTCTAGGAAAGTTATTTGCCATCCCACAGCTAGATAATCAAGTGGCCACTAGCCTAAGCCAGACACTTTTAGAGTCACTTCCCCCTAGTTGGTCTTTACAGCTATGCATAAGCCAAAAAGAAAGCAAGGGCCAATTAGAGCCCCGAGTCTTGGGCCCAAGGTCCCAGGCCCTCCTTGCATAGCTGGAGCCAGATTTTCCCCACTTCATAGCGGAGTCCTTGTCACCTGCTTCATTTATCACTGCCACCTTTCAAGCATCAGCACCCAGCCTCCCATGGAGCTTCCAGAGAGAAAAATCTCCCTACAGTCTTCTCTTTCATTCAAATTGCATGTTGCTCAGATTCTAAAACCTGTCAAGAGTGGGACGGTTGCAAAAGTTTATTTCAGAAAATTGGCAACCAGGGGGTGCCACATTCACTGGAATTCCAAGGCAAAATAAACATTCGGTAGGAGACAAAAACACTCTTTTGTGTGTGTGTGTGAGGAAGAGCAGCCCTGCTGCGGCCCTTGGCTAACATCCGTGCCCATCTTCCTCTACTTTATATGGGACGCCGCCACAGCATGGCTTGACAAGCGGTGTGTTGGACTGTGCCCGGGATCTGAACCTGTGAACCCCGGGCTGCGGAAGCGGAGCGCACGCACTTAACGCTGCGCCACCAGGCTGCCCCAACAAAAAAACACTCTTAAACACACCTTGGTTCTAACTTCAAGACTCCTGGGCATCAAAATACACAGGACTTTAGAGAACTACTCAGTAATCCTCCTATTTTCCCTAGATTTAAAAGATAATGTTCGCTTTCCAATGCTCTCTCTCTAAGAAAAGACTGCTCCTTTCCTAACCCAAGAAGGACTGTTCTTTTGCCAGAACAACTTTGAAACACAGGATAGCCTCACTTAAAGGTTTCCAGGTTTTGGTTCCAGGGAAGGGTCAGAAAGACACTGACGCGGGTCCCTTCAATAAAATAACCTAGTACAGCCTTCATTCTCCTGGTAAATGGATGCAGCAGAATCCCCAGCACTTGCACAGGGAACTTGATACTAAACAGTATACAGTCATGCATCGCCTAACAACAGGGCCACATTCTGAGAAATGCATCCATAGGCAATCATTGTGTGAACCTCATAGAGTGCACTTACCCAAACCTAGATGGTAAGCCTACTACACACCCAAGCTCTGTGATACTTATCTTATCTTATAAGACCACTGTTGTATATGCAGTCCCTCGTTGACCAAAACGTCCTTATGCAGTGCAAGACTGTACTACACATTTCTGGGCTCATTTCAGTAAGGACAGAGCCCTTAGAACAAACACTACTAATTATATTACAAAAGCATCAATAAGCTAACCTCTAGAAAGAGACTGTGGTGACAATAACTAGAAAATAACACACCAGAGTTGAAAGCCCAGAGGAGGCACATATGCTCAGGGCCTAATTACTCCCCAGGTTCAACCAAAGCACAATCACACTCACACTTAACAACAGCGAGACTGTGCACAAGTTCTTTAACAACCCTCATTTGAAATAAAAATGGGGGTAAAAGTAATTGCTAAGAGGATTAATGAGTTAATATTTGTAAAGTGCTTAGAACAATGCCTGACTCTATAAGTGTCTGCTAAGTAAAAAAACAAATGTGCAATCTTTATATCTAATAGGTAAGGGAATTTCTACAAAAGAATGATGAGGCTGGGGAGGAAAGCCTTTCCCAAATCAGCTTTTAGATTCCCTCCCTACTCAAGGACTTCTCACCAGCATGAACCCCCTGTGTGATCCTGGGTGGTGTTGGCTAAAAGCAAGGCGCTGACGGCCAGAATGGAATACCCATGGTCACAACAGCCCCCTTCTTCCATGTGGTTTATGATCCACTACACTACGACTACAATGAAACCAGCTCAAACAGAACAAAGAAACAAAGACAAATATCCCAGGTTGCAGCTGGCTGTCAGAAGCTATCAAATATCTCCCTCAATTGTTTTATGCCCTTAACATGAAGAGAACCCTTTGCCTCCTCACATACTCAGCAACTGTAATTGCACATTTATGTATGTGATTCAGGACTTCAAAAGCATTAAACATGTTCTGATAACAACCAATTTTAGATGAAATTCAGAGCAACCAATTTAAAATGAAAACATCTCAGATACATATCTCATGTATAAAATTCCAGGTGATGAATTATAAAGAAATCTCCTTAATTCCTTAGAGAGACACCTCTCTACCACAGACGAAATAGGTGCTTAGGATAACCATCATGTAAAAGTGGGCTACACCACACCATCTTTTTGAAAACAAAAAATTACCAATCATCAAGATATTCAACTTCCTGAAAGCATCAGCTTAGTCATTTCGGTTTTAGTGCTGTCACAGTTATGTCTTTAAGATGCCTTATAAGATGTTTCAAACTTTCAGACATGATTTGAACTCTCTATTAAGATGATAAATTCCTACACAACAAAACAGCTCTCTGGGAAAGAACTGAGTCCCTGAGGCAATCGAGGCCACAGTCAGAGCACAACACGACACAGACTAAAGACCTGGGAGAGGTGGAACCAATAAATGCTAGATAATTTCATCAGGCGCTGATTTAAAAGGGGGTGGGGGCATTGCAAGCGTAGGTATAGATGCATTTGTTTTTATATAAATAATGCTCTCAGATTCACTTCTCCATTGTCCTGTCTGGTGAGTCACCAGGGGATGTGATTCCTAAGGTCTTAAAATTCTGAACAAATGGAAAGAATGCAAGTGGGAGGCACTCCACAAAAACATTAAATACTAAGCCAGGGGGATATTAAGAACAAAAACAGGCAGTCTTTGCTACGGCAGAGCCTGGCGCAAGAAACTTTTCCATCGCCCTTCCTTTCAACAACGCTCAGACTCTCCCTCCCAACATTTTGTAACAATAATTTTTTAATAAATGAAGAAAACCAAGTAGTCATTTCCAGCGCTAATACTCAACTATTAAGTTACAACCCTCTAAAATAGAAAAGACAGAAAGAGATGTAAGTTACTCATTACCCATTTCCTTTGACTTCATTAATTTGATGCAAATTTCCTCCAAAATAATGAAGCTGAGCAGGGAGTTGAACAAGCCCTAATTCAGACTCTACACCCCAGAAACCCACTAGTTCACACTTTAAAGAACCCGCTTTAGCAAGAACGGAGTGGCCCCCTATCAGAAAGTGCCACTTTGGAGCCAGGGGCGGCCGGGGGTCCCCACGTGGGTTGCGGTCACCAGGCGCTTCCACCCTCAGTCGCTTCAACAAGTTCCCTCTCTCGACTTCAGCAAATCACACCCACCACCCAAGCTCTCCGTGGAGTTTTTCTCTCCCATCTAAGGACTTTGCGCTTCATTTTCACAAGCAGTAATGTTTCCTCCTGCTCATATCTGCTATTTCCATGGCAGTCCCCCGACCTATTCCCACAACTGCATCTCTTGGCGCTCGACCCTCCAGCTGCCAACCCACTCCCACCTCGAACTACTCGGCGCCCTGGCCTCTCTGCGCCTGCGCCGCTCCCGGGAACCACCGCCCCCCCCAACCCCCACCCCCGCCCGATCCCGGACCCTCCTCCGGGCATAGGGGGGAAACGGGAAGTACAGCGCATAAGGGGCACTCCTGGGTCCTCCAAACCGGCGCGAGAAGCGAGAGAAATGAGCAAGACCCCACCCAGGAGGAGGTGGGGGTGTATGGGGAGGGAGGCGGTGTTGGGTGGGCGTAGAAGCGGAGGACAGACAGGAGCAGGGGAAGCGCCCGGGGGGAGCCTCCCTGTCAACTGAGTCCCTACGCCTTCCAGCACCAGGAATTATGCAGGTCCGTGAGGATGGACTCTCGGCCGCTCGACCTTTCCGTGTTGTCTCAGATGGTCTTCTGCGGGCGACTCGGGACTGCGCCCCGCTCAGCCCCCTGCATTGTTCGCGCTCCGCGAGCGCATCCGGGAGGCGACCCGGGCGGCGCGGCCTCGGCCACCGGCCCCTACCTCCACCAGCAGCCCGAGCAGCAGCGCCACCACCCTTCCTGGCAGGCAGCTCATGGTTCCGCGTTGTCTCCAGGCGCGCCTGCCTCTCAGGTCGCAGGCGCGGGTCAGCGGCACGTACCCCGCGCGGCTGGCAAAAGGGCAGGCGGGCGAACGCTGGGCGTGCCAGAAGCCAGGACGCGTCGCGCTCCGCCCCGCGCTCCACCCCCGGCCGGCGCGCGCTCCGGACACGCCTCCTGGAGCGCGCGCGGGCGGGCACCCGGAACCAAGCCCCGATTAGGGGCACGGCTGCTGGACGCCGGGGTCTCCGAAGCCGGAACGCGCGGCAGGAGCCAGGACAGGGGTCGCAGGGCCGGATGAGGCGGAGAAGAACTGAAAGCTGTCTCCTCCTCGGGGGAGATTGTCCTCTCACCCTTGAATAGACCCAGGAAGGTTTTTAAGAGAAGCATAGTTTCCGCGGGGTGAGGCGTGTTCCAGAGGAAGGTGACTGTAGATGAACCCGTTGCTCCGTCTTGCTTCCTTTGCCTCCATGTTTCACTCTCTTCCGATGCCTGCCAACCGCGGAGGCCGTGCGCTCTACCCACGTGTGACGTGGGACAGCCAAGGGACGAGGGAGGTAGATTGGGAATAGAAGGCTCTCTGCACCTCATCTCTCACTTAGACCTCGGTGCTTTTTCTACCAACATCCTCCTGCCCTGGCCCTGCCTGGGCTTCACCGCATTTGGCCCACATTGAAGTCCACCCTCCAGCTGCTGAGTTTGCGGTGTCCTTCGTTTCTACTGAACCGCCTTTACACCCCCACTACCTGTGCCCACCATATTTTTTTCACAACATGGCTCAGATTCCACCTCGTTCGTGCAGTTGTTCAACAAGCATTTACTGAACTTGTAAGATGTATCACACCTGAGCTGGAGGGCCAGTATGTAGAGATGGATAAGAAAACTACACCTGGAGTCTAAAAGAAGAGAGAGCCTCTTACATGACTGTTATACAGTGCTGAGTGCAGAGAGGAGGGGGGTGGAGGATAATAAAGGAGCATAAAGAACATGAGCCCACCCATGACTGGAGGTGGTGGGATGGTGATCATGATCACCTAAGTCCAGTCTTGATGACTTTTCAGCCTTCAACGCGTGTACTCCTCAGATATAAAACATGCACCACCAGACTGTTCCTGTTAGAACCAGAACTTGAAAGTAAAGCAGACAATAAGCCTATGGCCTTCATAGTCATGGTAAGGCACTCCCAGATAAGTCCACCAAGGGTCTTGGGACTGTAGTGACTTTGACTTACGGACAATTAGGGCATTTTACTACTCTTTTAAGGGCAGTCCTAACTGGTGGAAAACTAAGTGGAAAGCCTAATTGTATAATAGAGATGCAAATGTATTTTTTTCCAACGGCAATGTAGATGACCTCATCCTGTAAAAATGCAAGTGACCTCTGCTAGGGTCAGAACTTTAACCAGTTTTCTGTCTAATTTATCAATCTCATCCCAAGAGTTTCCTTTCCCCCAGTTTTTCACTGGCTATATATTCACATCAGTTGCCTGCATTCTCTTTTGAAGCAGTTTTGTCATCCTACTGGTTCCCTCGTTAGTGGGTTAAAATAGAACTTCAGCATGTGTTCATTATGTAATATGTGTATTGACATGTATGCAAATTATGTTCCTATGACATTTTGAACATTATGCTAATACTTGACATAACCTCCCTCCTGCCTACAAATATCTCCACTGAGATTATTTTGCTGAGTTTAAACTTCCTGTAATTTGTATAAATTTTTTTTCAAAATACAAAATTAAAACTTTGGTGATGCCTTCTCCTCAGTCTGATATTCTTCTGTGCGCCCTCCAGCTGGTCCCAGATGATAGGTGGTGGCTTGGCATGAGTGGGAAATAGGGTGAGGGGCTGGCGGGCAAGGCTGTTTCCCTGAGCACAAATCATAAGGGCTCAAGATACCACTGAAAAAGTAACAAGGTGAAGAAAACTCTATTTAGTAGAACAATTCTCAGGGTGTGACTTGGGGTTGGAAGAAATTTTCTGATCCGTTGTTTGGGGCCAGACTGCACATGCCCCAGGCCTGCTCAGCTGCCCCTGAGGAGGGAGGACCCGGAACCTGGGGCTTTTTTGTTGCCAAGGGAAGCAAATAAAGGAGAGGTTGGGTTGACCTGCAGTCCCGTTGCAAAACTCAGCACTCCTCAACATGGAGTCTACATGAATGATGAACACATATTTCATTTATTCAACAAATATTTATCTACACCTTCTTTGGGCCGGGTGGTATTCTGGGCATTAGGGATAATAGAAATAAACAAAATAGTCACAGTGGCTGCCCACTTCAATCTAGTCAGGGGTGACAGATAATTATAATAAATAAATAAATGTGTGTATGTCAAATGTTGGTAAATGCCAGGAAGAAAAATTAATTAGGTGAAACATTTGGGAGGTAGGGCTGAGTATTATTGAAAATAGGAATGTCAGGCCAGGCCTCTATGGCAAATTGCCAGGAGCAGAGACCTAAAGGTAGGGAGGGGTGCTGAACAGGACTTAATCAAAGGCCCTGAGGCAGGAGCAGCTGGGGCCTGGGGCACTTTCAGACATGATTAGTGGAATGGGGCCCTGTGCTCCTCTAGTGGTGGTAGGACTGGAATTCAAAGAGAAAAGGGAAGCTCAGATTTGTAGTCCACTGTAAGGATTTTGGATTTGGTTCTGAGAGAAATGGGATATCATTTGAGGATTTTGAGCTGAAAAGTAACACAATCTGGCCTATGATTTAAAAGGATTACCCTCAACTGCTATGTAGAAAATAGACTGGGCACAGTGGGGAAGAACTAAGTGAAGGACAGAGACTGGAAGAACTGTGAGGAGCTGACACAATAATCCAGGCAAGAGACAGGATGATTTGTAACAGGAGTGGAGGTGGGGAGAAGTGGTTGGTTTCTGACTATATCTGAGAGTTGACCCTGATGGTGGGTATGGGAAGCTGATACTTGGCTGTTCTGATAAAAAAGATTACAACCCCCCCTGCCCCCCCCCCGGAAGTGTCCAGCACAACACACCTACAGGATATTACCTGAAGAGTTAATAGGAATCAGATTTAAGGAGTCCTGTTCTAGGTAAATTGCAAGAAAGGTGTGACTCACGCAGGTAAACAAATTTACAAGCTCAGAAGACAGCTTAAAAATAAAAATGAGTAATACCTGTCTGGACAGGATTGGAAACGGTTATCTTAAATGCCCTCCAAAGTATGTGTGTGAAGGGGGATTGCGTGTGTATGTGTCTGTGTGTATGTGATCCTGGCTCAACACAAGGTTGACATAAGTGAAGCCATAATGTAGAAAAGAAACCATATTATAACTTTGAATGACCTCTGACTAACTAACCCAGCTGGATATGCACCCTCCAGGAGATCTAACTGCTCTGTAGATTTTATGACTCCTGCTTGGGCATGTACCTCCAAGCTGCAATAAGATGATAACTTTGTTCTTTTGAGTTCCTTAGGAAGGTGATGTCCCCCCAATAGAGAGTCTATGATGTTAGCCATCATCAAGGAAAACTAAAAGATCTGGTGCGGTGACTCCCAGTCTGTAACACCACAGGGTCAATATTCCTAACCCCTCCCCTAAAATCCACTGGCCTATATAACTGCTTCAAGATTCTGTGCCCCCTTAAGATGGTTCTTTCAGACATTAGTCAGCCATCTTCCCCCTTGCTAGCAAGTTGTAATAAAATGCCCTTTCTCTGCCACCATCTTGCCTCTTGACGATTGGCTTTTATCTCACAGTGAGCGGATGGTGCCTTTTGTGCAGTAACATACACATTGAACCAGCCAGGCATTAGAAAATTGATGCTAAAACGTTTTCTTGTGACAGAGTTAATAGCACAAATTTGCAACCCAGACAGATTATGTTTAAATCCTGGCTCTGCCCCTTTACTAGCCCGGTAAACTTGAAAGATGTGCCTTAATTTGCTCTTCTATAAAATAGGGATGTCCATTTGGCAGAGTTCTTGTGGGGTTGAAACCAGGTACCTGAGGCTTATTGTAAATATTAAATAAGAAAATGATTACCCTTCGACCTTGTTCCCAACATAGACACAGAAGAAAAGAAGTTAATCTTGTTGATTTCCTGTTTTCTTGTTTAACCTGAGGGGTGACTCAAGGATCACAAGGATATATGAGCTTGTTTTGCAGAAGAAAAATAATGCCTTTAAGGAAGTTATGATCACTAGATAACCAGCCCCCAGCTGCTATTGATGCCTGGTAGAGTGATTGCCCAAGGGCTTTCATCTGGAGTGAAAGAAACACAGATTTCCCCTTTGTGTCTCTGAAACTCCTCCTCCCAAGCCTTTTAACTCTATAAAGACCCCCTGCTCTCTTCTTTCATAAAGGTGGATTTCAGAGAACCCATCCTCACACCTTCTCATTTTGGCCAATTCAAATACACCTTTCTCCATCTCCAAGCACTCAGTCTCAGTGGTTAGCTTATTGCACATTGGGCATGGAACTTGAGATTAAGAGGCTCAGTGTCAGTGTGAAGGGGTTAGCACTGAGAGACAGAATATGCAAATGGACAATGGCTAGACCATATATAATAATAGAACTCTGACCCATGATCTGTGGCAATCAGCTCAGGAAACCAACCCATTATCTACAGTAGCCACCCTACTATCTACAAGTCAGTCTCATGGGAAGTCAGACCACTATTTCTTGCAAATAGTCCAGGAAGCCAAACAATAGCCCCAGTACCATTGGTCCAAAATGGCCGGGACTTGATTAATAACTGACAGCTTCCCTAATTTTCTATTCCCACTTCCAGTTTAGATCCAAACAGAGAAAGCCATATATACTCCCCTAACCAAACACATAGGATGCCCCACCTACAGCTAGTTACCCCACCTACAGCTTCCCCATGCCAACAGCCTCCAGTCAGGGCATACTTGAAGACTTCCTTTTTTTCCCACCATAAAGCTTCCCCACTCCTCTGCTTGCCTTTGAATCTCTGCCAAATGCAAGTGATGGTGGCTGATTCCCTTGCTATAGCAAGCTCTGAATAAATAGACGTTGCCTGTTCTCATTTGGTTGGTCTTTATTTCCATTGCAGAATGGAGGAGTCATACCTTGTAGAAATAAGAGTCAGATTAATCATA